CCCAGCTAGGTTGCTCTTTTCTAGAAGCATCACGAAGTTGGGTTTGGTTGGCCAACGGGACACTAACACTGTCAGTAGCTGGGACCAAGCGGGCGTGAATGGGGTGATGGGATGATGAGACGAGTTGAGTTGGGTTGGGTTGGGTGGTGTTGGTAGTAGCAGGTAACTAAGTTGAAGTACGTAGTTATAGTTACCTAGTAGTAGATGGTGGATGATGGATGATGGATGATGGGCTTGCCGAATTGGCCAGCTTCAACCATTCCGTCCCGCATCATCTTCTCTCCATTTCCATCCTCCAAGATCACAACAATCTCGGGCCCCTCAGGCCACCACATCGCAGCCACCAGGATACTTACTCTAGTTTGTCATCCTCGTCCTCAACAGAGGATATTCCAGTGATACGATTCTATCCGGGTCTTCCCACTCTTCCGACTCATTCTGCAGTTGCATGCATGCCTTGTGAATCCGTTGCTCCATCTCAGACTGCGATCTCCGCTTGGTGCTTGACATAGACACCAACCACCACCACCACCATCACCAGCAACAACAACAACCAACAAAAAAGCCATGGTCTCGATTGTTGACGCCGAGCAGGCAAGAAAATTGTCGCTTTTCCGGCCTCTAGGTAAGCAACCAGTCATCATAGCGTCTTCAGCCCCGTGCAATCAGTACCCGCCCCAGTTGGTTCCCTTTTCTCTCCCCCAATCGGTGCCCCTCAATGTGCCGGCATGGCATTTTTGCTGCCCCTCATCTCGATCTATACGGCCTTCGCTTCCCCATAGTACGACCTAAACAACACCACTGCCAACCACCTTTGCCGAACTTCGTCTCCTGTTCCCGTTGCCTCCAGTGAAAACATCACCAAATCACATTCTTGGTCATTTATCGTCTTCAATTGTCGCCATGTAGACCGCCCCACCGGTTGCCTCTTGCCGCTGACTTCGACCTTCAGGCTACCAACGCAATTCTTGTGGCTACTGCAAATCTGGTGATGGCTGTGAGTCTCCCCACGCTGCCCCACCAGAGATGCCCATCACAGGCATGTCGACGACGGCTTCATGCCATGCCAGTGCTAACGCACACCTGCTGCAGCGGCCTCCTACTACACTAGCTCGGTCTCTGTGCGACCGGCCCATTATGAGGCCCTTGTCAATCGGGGTTGGAGAAGGTATCGTGTGGTTCATTTGGTGCATGAGAAGTACGAACAACACGGGGACTAACCCAGGCCTAGATCGGGCACGCTGTACTACAAGCAGAACCTGCAGCGGTCATGCTGCCCTCACTATACGATGAGGTCGGTGATCGGCTCTTTCCCCCTGTCTATGTTTCACGAGATTAAACCATCATTACAGACTGGAAGCATTGGACTTCAAACCTCGGAAGGATCAACGCAAGGCCGTGAACCGCTGGAACAAGTTCGTTCTCGGCCCTGAATACATCCGTCGAGCCGCATATCTCTGCCCCAAGACACGGGAGTAAGTCGATCCAAGCTGGGATGGATCCATGAAGGGTCGCTGAATGTCCGCATTGCAGGGAAAAGAAGAGCCGCAAGTCCCACTTCGACCTCCGGGGGGCCGTCCACGAAGCCGAATATAGCAATGTGAAACGGCCCATTGATCCTAAGACGAAGAAGTACCTCGAGCCCGCGCATCGCTTCGAGGTTAATCTGGAGGGCGACTCCATTTCTCAGGCCAAGTCCGTCACTTTGACCGGTTTCAAATCGAAATTCTGACCTATCCACCCGCAGATTCGACCTCTTCCGCAAGTATCAGACTACAGTCCACAAGGAAGACGTCTCGAAGTGGCAGACCAAGGACTTCAAGCGCTTCCTTTGCTCAGGCCTGACGCGCTCACCCGCCGATCCGAAGAAGTCGGACGAGAAGAAGCTCGGATCGTGGCATCAGTGCTACCGTCTCGATGGCAAGCTCATCGCCGTAGCTGTATTAGATCTGATGCCTAATGGTGTGAGCTCTGTATACATCTTGTACTGCTTCCTGTTTCGTGGCCGATTCCACCCAAAGCTAACATCAGCTAGTTATGACCCAGACTATGAACAATGGGAGTTCGGCAAGTTGAGCGCGATGCGGGAGATCGCTTTTGCCGTGGAGGCTCAATACCCGTACTACTACATGGGTAAGTCCATCGATTCAGATCGCGTGCTATTGCTAATATTTCCGGTAAGGATACTATATCCATACATGTCAGAAAATGCGGTACAAGGGAACCTTCAAGCCCCAGTACATCCTCGGTATGGGCCCTGTTTCGGCCCCCTTTCACCTTTTCCCTTAAAACTAATTATGATAGACCCCGAATCCTACGCCTGGGACCCTCTCGACGGCGAACTCTCCCAGAAACTCGACACTCGACCCTACGTCTCCCTTTCACGAGACCGCCAAGCAACCACCACTACTGCTGAGAAGACTCATCCTGAGCCCGACACCGCTGATGCGGAAATCAACGATGAGGACATGTCACTCTTTGACTTGCACATGCCTGGCGTGTTGACTCTGGATGAAGTGAAGGCGCTAGACCTGGACCACTGGTTGCTTCTGGTGCATGGGTCCTTTGTACATATGATTGTACGTTCCCCCCTTCTCTCCACACTTGGTATATCTGGAGAATGCGCGCTATGTGCATTGTACACCTGGTCGAAGCGATACTAACAAGGGAATGATGATAGGACCTTGTCGGATGGGAGAGGATGCCGATGGACAACCCTCAATCGGTGAAGGGGATTGTCGCGGAGCTGGCGGCGGTGCTGGGACCGGAAGTCTTCAAGCAGAGTGCCGTGGTGCTATTTGATTAGATCTCTAGGCGTGGTCAGGACTCAGTGGATGCATGGTGGTTTCGTTCAATCCAGCAGCCAAACTAATGCTATTTAAGGGCAGAGGATACAATACTGGAGGAAACCCACCATGTCAGTGAAGTCTCGAGAATACCGATTGCAAGCCTCAAGCAGGAGCTTCGACCAAAAAGAGAAAAGTAGAAGGAAAGAAGGAACAGGAGTTCGACTACTCCGTACATACCATTCTAATCATCGCCGCCAGAGCTACCGCTCTCCATCTCTACTAGCTCATGGATCGGTGATAAGGTGTTACCTGAGTGTGCCAGACATACCTTACCTACCTCCATGATCTCTCTCGCCCACTAATCATATATCTCGGCAGATACAAAAGCACCTATGTAGTCCATCACGGATAATACGCTGCCGCGTAGAAAGGGGACCCGCAGCTATACTATAATCTCTGGTCAAGAGGGGATGTACGGTACTTATGTTATGTTATAACGTGGTAAGTTAGCGAGAATAGTCCCATGGGCTTGGATCCAGCGTTGTCGGAGTATTAGGTAGGTAGTTAGGTAGGTAGATGGGTAGCTAGGTAGGGAGGCAGGGAGGCAGGTAGGTATGCATGCAAGTGATAATGTTTCCCAAGTTCGCTTCGCCAGCGGAAAAGGCTCCCTATACTTGAATCGTATTATAAATGAGCCTATGTCTATGTCTCTGTCTATGTCAATATCTGTCTGTACCTGTATCTAAAAGGGTCCCGTCTGGGAGGTACGAGTAAACAGGTGGGCTAGATCGGGTGTTTGGGGGGGGGGAATATAGTGTACAACGCGTGGCGCAGTACTCAGCCCAGTCAGCCCAGCCCAGCTTGTCCAACAAAAGCTTAGAGCGAGTAGAGACCGATCTTTAGCTTGGGAGGGACAAGCACAAGCACAAGCACAAGCCCGCCGCGGCGGAGCTGGTAGATCTACCCACCCATGTCCAGATCCAGACCCGGACCCAGACCCAGACCCGGACCCAGACCCATACGCACCCAGGGTTGCTGGCCAACCGGCATATAACTTGCGTATCGAGAACAAAGAGGAGAGAATATAAGCATGCCAGCCAGCCTGCCAGCAAGCAAGCAAGCAAGCAAGCAAGCAAGCAATTGGATCTCAAGTCAAGTCAAGTCAAGTCAATCAATCAATCCGTTGGCACGTCCCTATGTATTCACAGAGAAAGAAGTGGATGAAAAAGGAAAGAAAGAGAGTCAATGCACAATGCAAGCCTGGATGATGGGAGATTTGTGTGAAAGTGAAAAAAGGCAAAGAAATCACAAACAAGAAAAGAAAGAAAGGAGGCACGCTCGGCATCCATGATAATAACAACCACCCAACCCAACCCAGACCACTTCCCAGCTTCCCATTCGCCCTACATACACCAACCAGACAAAGAAAGCAAGAGTAGTCAAACCCGCGACGAGGGCCGGGGAGCGACTACCTTACCTATACCCAACCAAAACAAAAGCCCCCATCCATTTCAATGTTATCTGCATCGAGAAGAAGAAAATAAATCCTGACCGGAGGACGACTGGTAGCACTTCGAAGAGGACAATCGAAACCCCATAACCTTAAAGCAAAGCAAATGATAGCACCATTTCCTGTTTGTCTATCTCTTGAGAAAAGATTTTCCCTCCCTCCTCATTCATTGCCCCATTGCCTTGAATTCGCCGAATCAAATCGATCGTCGATCATCAAATCAATGCAATCAAGATCATCAAGAAGCCCCTCGACGACGAAAGGAAACATGAAGAGAAGAGAAGAAAACGGAACATCGAGAGATGACAATTTGAAAAAGAACGCCAGTCAGTGAAACAAATCTATGGACGCCAACGGGTCAGTACACTCCATAGTAAGCAGAAAACGTGATGTCGTGAGACGCAACCATGTACCCCAGAGAGAAGAAGATGCTGAGAACCATGCCCATGCCCACAACCAGATGATGAACGATCCTGTAGATGTAACGCCCCACCATGTCACATGCATAGCAAGACAAGACAATGCTAACCGGCAGGGATCAGATGCAACGCCGTGTATTCCGATAGATGCGTGAATGGGTAGAGAGATGGACGATGACAATGACGATGATGGAAAGAACACGCAGCGACGAGATGATCACAGATGGAAAACGCCTGGCTATGCTTTTCAGTCAAGCACAAGTCTCGAACCTGTCTGTCAACTTAATCACCACCCTCGTCAATGGCCTGCGCTTCCACCTCATCGCCCTCGGATCCATCCGCTAGCATCGCGTTTGTCGGGATTCGTCGCCCAGCGCCGAAGACGAACTCCATGAATCGTGCTTTCTGTTTGTCGCGCACGCCCCGAAGGTATTCGTAGCTGCCGTCGATTCCCCGGATTTGACCCTCGATCACGGCGCCGATCGGCCCGAGCATGCGTCCATGACTGTGACTATTGCTAGCCTCAACACCACCCGCGAACCGGACCGAATCGTTGCGCCGCACCAACGGACTAACCAGCTTCCGACGTAGGGTTTCCAAATTCACCTTGAGCGTGAGGAGGCGCCCGCGGTGGTCCATCAGGAGGTGCTTGTTAGTGACAGTCCGACTACGGACGCTGGCAAGAAGCCGTTTGTTCTTCTCGTACTTGCGAACAATGGAGGCATCCGGTCCGAGAACACGGGTCCACAGGGAACTCAGCATCTCGCCCTCCTCTCGTTCTTGCGCATCCGACTCGCGAACGACGGTCCGTTGCAGATTCAGGAACTGGCGATCGATAGACTCAAAGAGCCCAAAGAGCGCGGTGGAATGGTGCAGCTCAGTGTTGATACATTCTTCAAGCACACCCAAGAATTCCGTAAAAGTCCGAGTGAGCGTCGCGCGCGTGCGTTGCGCCGAGGTTTGTCCAAGGACCGCTGTCACGACTTGCCCGAATGTGGTGGGTGTAGTCGCCAGCTCACTACCCGGAGGAGCATCATGGGGGTCAATCGGCCGTTCCATGGTACCCAGCCGCGCAAGAATCTCATGCAGATTATCGAACATGAGCGTCGGCAACGAGCTAGGCGGTTGCGCATTGATCGCTTCCAGTTCGCGCTTGGCCCAATCCATGACAATCAGGATCGAGTCGAAGTCGGCATCAACGTTGGCGAAGAAGCGAGTCAGCTCCAATGACAGTGACTTAAGGGACTCGGACAATTCATCTAGCTGGCGCACGATGATAGGCGCGCTAGTCATGTTGGTGCCACGAACTGATTCGCTCAGGTCCCAGACCGCCACGCCGGTTTCCTGCAGGGCTTCGATCTGCTGCGCGCCATGTTCCGAATAGTAAATCAGGGGTTCAAAGGAGCGCGCAAACCCGGATAGCTTGACCAAGTCAGGGATTGGCTGAGGATAGTTCGGGAGAAACAAGGTGCGCATCAATCCTATGGACAAAAGGGCGACAACTATGGATACGAGGGTATTGGTCCGAGTGCTGGTGATCTTATCAAACTTCTCACGCAGGTACCCGGATATGGCCGCCAATGGTTCACGTTGCTGAACTTCGGCGCGTACTTGGAACCGGATATCTTCATGCAAAGAAAAAATCACAGGTCAGTATTCCATACCAGCTCGCTGGATAAAGTTGTGCTCCGAAGTGGTACCTACAACTACTAAGGTCCTGCTCGGGTGCGAAGTCCACCTCGATGTCCTGACCAGCTTGCCCGCCAGCCGGAGCTCTGCTTGGCGAACGTGTCTGGGTCCTTTCGGGGACCTGTAGCGACATGGCCGTCGGCGCGCATGCTGTGGTCTCGGTCATAGCGGACGACTGCTTGCGATCCTTTGTCACAGGGGCCTCGACCGCATCCTCGTACTGTGGGCTACCTTCACGCGATTGCGCCGGGCTCACACCAACTGTCGGCTTGAGGACGGGGCGCTCCTTCTCCGGACTGCGAGAATACGCTTCGTGGCGATACCAACCACTTCCTGGATTGTAATCGTGTCTGCGAAAGCCGGGTGGTGACCAGCGCTCAGTGTTGGGATTGGGGTCTTCATCATCTGGGTCTGATTCCTCCTCGCGGAATCCCGAATGCTGCGACGAGAGACTGAAGAGGGGTGAACGCTGTGTGTTACTGCTGCTTTCAAAATCCTCGAGCGACGCATCCAGAGACGGATGGTCGTCGAAGTTGTTGTCGAGTTCGTCTAACATCTGGGACGGTGTTTCACAACGAATAGCCACGAGAGCCAAGGATCCTCTTGATCGCGCCAACGATCTGGACGACACCTCGCACTGCGCGGACGAGGATACTGCGCGAATGGTGGAAAAGGTCAAGAAGACTTGATCAGATGGTTAGTCGCAAGCGCGCTTAGATACGATCTGAGCTGTGTTCTAGGCGCGGATGGATGGGGAAAGTGGGGGGAGGCATGAAATGTGAGAGCGAGGTGAGAAGGTAAGGAGGTGAGAAGGTGAGAAGGTGAGTGGAAGGAAGAGAGGGGAGAGAGAAGTCTACCCAGAGTTTAAAAGATAAAGTGAAGGTGAGGCCAGGGAATGGAATGCGATCAAAGAGTTAGAAATGAGGACCGTAAGTGAATGTAAGTAATTAGCCTGGGTGCCTGAGGACCACAAGGGCGACCTGAATCATTCACTGGATTCACCAGGGTAGACGGGTGAGCGATCGCACGCGCGCAAGACCTCACAGAGGATCAAGTACAGATTATAGAGGATAGACGGCAGTGTGTGCGTGTGTCAATAGGCCAACCAGTCAGTCAGTGTTTAGAAACGGTTATGGGATGCGACAAGTCACAGCGGGTTCTCCGCAATACACCGTCAAAAGCAACTGTGAGAGGTGCTTGCATGAACCACCACTATAGACACAGAGCCACAGACACAGGCACCGCAAGAGAGGGTGCCACCTGTGTGAGACAGGGAGGGGAGCTATAGAGGGATGCGGTTAGTGGAGGGCAGATAAGATAGTCAATACACGATCTGAATAGACTATATAGATAGATAAGATGGTGTGCGTTGAGGCAAGCAAGTATTCAGTATTCCGTCCGAAGTCGGTGCAGTATAAGATTGCGATGGAAGTATAGTAATATCAATGCGATTTCACACACGGGGTTTCGAGGCAAGTAGGTAAAGTAACCTGTTTCTTTTCCAGGTACAAGTAGATGATACGCGCCCCTCGCATGTCTCGCTGGTCGGAGGGGGGGTTCGGAATCCGTATTTAAACAATGGAGGGGAGGGGGGTGGCTGGACCAATCGTGGTGGACCAGCCCCGGGTCATGTGCGATGGGCTAAAACCGACTATCCTTGGAGAGGGAGTGTCGATAGCTTGCAAAATGTCCTTTCTCTTCTGATTGCCGGTAGAAACCGATGGTGGGGGGAAAGCCCAGGGGAGTGCGCAAAGTGCGCAAAGTTGTTGCGTATAGGGCGCATCTCAAGAACCCCCCGTTGTTCCATCCATCGCATAAAGGGCAGACAACGTGCGGGCATCGATGCGATAACAAAGAAGGGCGGAAGGACCTGAACCAAGAATACATCCCTATCGATTGTGAACGGGGGGGTTTATCGATAGCGATAGTCAGCGAAGAAACTCTCAAAGTGGGGAGGGGCAAAGGGACGCTGTGGCTGATGTGCTGCAGAGCGAGGAGGGGGAGGGAGAAGCCTGATACTCCCGATGTACAGTACAGATGAACTCTCAGCAGCTTCGACACGTCCGGTCGTGCTTACTGCCACGCCATCGTGCTCGGTCACATCTTCCGATTCGCGTCATTCGTGGTCATCCCTGGGTTCCGATCAGTGGTACATACCGTACTCCGTACTGTACTGTATATCAGTCCCCAGATTATCTCACATCTTCGACCAAATGAAAATCCCATGGTTCCGAACGGGGAGAGGTAGCACTCGCATCATGGCTTGCCTGCACTTTGATTGCGCAAAGATAGACTGTTTGTCTGAGGAAGTGCAACCAACTAAGCACCAAGTTGGTATGGCGGTAGCAGGCTGTAGCAGGACAACTGGTCCAATCATGTGGCCGAGATGCTTCTCCAACGATGCAAGGATCATCCGCCAGATTGCCGTTGCAGTCAAGACTTGTCTCAGCGGCCGTCGATGATTGATGGATTCACGTCTCTCACCCACCCTCTCTCTCTCGGCCAGCAACGGCGGGAAAATCAGGGAACCTTGAAGCCTGGCGGTTGCCCGACCGCCAACCCATCGGTACACGTGATCCTGATCATCCTGAAACGCCAGACTCGGCCAACGCATCAATTTACTGCAACGGGAAAAAGCACAGACGCACCTAGAGGTCACTTTCGGCGCGCATGGCGTCATGAGAGGAGATCTTCTTTCATTATAGTCTCACAGAAAAAAAAAATATTGATACCATCATACACAGAGCAGGGCATTCGTTGGTCACAAATGAAAAAAAAAATAAACAGAACGTCAATCGGGAATATGTGTAGTAGACAGCGGTCGCGAAGGAGGCAAAAGGCTCTATAGCATCCTCTTTTTTCTTCCATCGCACAAAGATTCCAAAGTCTATCGCATGTAATCAAAGGGTAATGTTACATGACCCGACCAAGCCGCAGAGACGACCGAGTGACCGGCTGTTTCCAGCACGCAGAGTCGAGGCAGACCCGTACGTCCCGGTCGGGGTCTAGAAGGTTTCACATAGGTGAAGACATCTAAGCGGTGGCCTCCTTGAGGTAACTGTAGGAAACATATCCGTTAGCTGACGGTGCCTGAACCGATCGCAGGAAGGAACGTACGTGATGAGGTCGTTGCGCTCCTTGGCCTTCTTGAGACCACCGAAGGCCATCTTGGTACCGGGGATGTACTTCTTGGGGTTCTCGAGGTAGGGGTACTGGAAGGAAGCATGTTAGTCAAGTTGATCACGATTGGTGCGCGGGTCGCGAGGGTGGGCTTACGAGAGTGCTCTCATCCCAGGTGACGTCGGCCTGCTTGTTGGCGTCGGTGTAGGCGTAGCCGTCGGAGGAACCGGTCTTACGGCCGAAGAGACCGTGGAGGTTGGGGCCGACCTTGTGGGGACCACCGGCCTCGACGGTGTGGCACTGAGCGCAGCGAGTCTGGAAAATGCAGAGTTAGCCACCGAGTCCGTAAAATGGATGCTGAAGAAGACATCAACTCACCTGGAAGAGCTTGGCACCCTTGGCAGAGTCACCTGAAAAACCGGAGATGTTAGCCGCAGTCTGAATGGGCATTTGTGTTGCCGGTTGCTGGGGCTTTTTGCAGGCCTCCAGCTCGGCCTCGCGCATGTGGATTGTAGTGAGGAAACAGTAGGTGTCAAAGCTCGTCATGGTCCTGAGTCTTTCGCTGGTCTTCAGATCTTGTGGTCTGGTTCATGGGCCTTGCAATTGCAGTCAAAGAGGCAAAGCAGGCGACAAATTGTCAAGGCGACAGAACCGACAAAGAACCCATGATCATAACACATCGAGACCAGGCACCACCACCCAACACCTGGCCCATGCATCCGGCAGCCCCGAAGACATTGTGTTCAAGCCGAGTCTTCGAGGCGACCAGTGCATGATCGGTGACACCGGGGAAATCAGGGAAATTCCAAGTGGAATGCTTACCAGGAGCGAAACCAGCGTCCTTGCCCATTTTGAATGTGTGAAGGGTATTAAAAAAGAAAGGTAAAGAAGGTAAAGTACAGAGGAATTGGATTGAGCGGAGGAGATTCCGGGGGAAGAAGGGAAAGCAGAAGGGGAGGACAGAAAAACTTGCGATTGCAATTTGTACTTACTGGGAAGAGCGGCCCCAACAGCCCTTTTCCCGTGATCCGGGCCTCCGCCAATCAGCGCCGCGATGATTCAGCGCAACGGGCGCATCCGGGACCAGATGCCGGTGTGATTTTCTGGATCATGGATGAAAAGATGAGATCACCAGGCACAGTTACCTCGAGTCACCAGCCTAAATTAGAATGGGAGTCCAGAGTCAATGAATTGGCCTGAGGTCTATTGATTGTTATGCTGTCTATACTAGTGTTTCTTAATTGATTTACTATACAACCTCTCTCTCTCTCCAGGTGTTCTCGACCCCTACCTGGGCGGTAAGTTAAGTTATGAGGTATGATCTCATTCTACGCTCATTCCTGCTGACTCTGCCTGCCGTGCCTTCGGGATCCCGCAACCAATCGGTTGAATTCGATCGGTGTAGAATCACCAAAGAATGGTTCAGGACGAGACTGAACAATGGAACTCTGAGGACGATAGGGGATGATATGAGAATGGTGAAAGCACTACATCATTTTTGCCATTGCCTTTGCTTTGTGGTGGCCCGGACCAGACGAGACCAGAGCCCGGGCCAGATTCGGGGGTACGGAGCAACATTTGCAAATCCCTGGACGGTCATTCGTCCTCCGAGTCTGACCGACTTGGCGTTGGGCTTACATTGTTCCGCTCCGTCGCATACTGTAGGTACGTAGCAACAATCACCGCCCGGTCAAGTAAACATGCGATGCGCCGGGACGATGTCCATGCCATTCAATGACTTGCGCAGTGCAATGTACGTAGCTGTATAACACACAGACACACTGCGCCCTCGAATATCGCAGTGCATTATGCTTGACATATTTTCCTCAGACCAGCCTTCAAGAAGCTTGGCCCAAAAAACAAACCCCAACCTAGTAACTTAGCCGTAGTATCGCGACTGTCCGCCATCTCACGTGACAAGCTCACAAGCCCACACCGCCCGGCACCACCACCTCCTCCCCGGTCAAGAAAATTGCCCGTATCAGGCATATCAATCAACCTCAGCTGGCACTACCTCCACAAACCTACCACCCTCAACCCTCTCCCCCGGCTCACCAACCCTCAACCCCCCAAAAAAATGCAACCAACAACGACAATCCGAATCCCGCGCTTCCTCCTCCCACGAGGCATCCCCACCCCTCGAACCCTCCAACAAGCCCTCACCAGCAGCAGCACGGTAACAACCCGCCGCTGCGCCTCGAGCAAATCCACCTCCCCGAAAAGCAAAGACAAACCCATCGTGCTCCCGCAACCGGACCGATTCCGGCCGCCGTCGCACCCGCAGCGGCGCGTGGTGCGCACCAGCAATGGGCGCGTCGTGAACGCCGACCCGGTGCACTACGGCCCGCGCCTGACGGAGGCCGAGAAGGCGGCCCAGCGGAAGAAACAGTACCCCAACATGTTCCCGCCCGAGGGGACGGTGGCGCATAAGTTCTTGACGAATCGGGGGATTCATGTTTGGATCGCTATGGTGAGCTTTATCTACCGCATGTTGTGTATTCACCGGGGGCTGTGGGTGGAGGGGAGCTTGGAGGAGGAGGAGGGGTGAAGTGTATATTGCACAGTTGAGGAGGAGATACCTTAGTAAATGCTAACCACGGCTGCTACCGATAGGGCGTCCTCACTTCCCTGGCAACGTTCACATTCACCACGAACTTCAAGCGGTCGTCGCCGTTCGCGCATCTGCTCCCCTCGTGGTCGGGGTTGCTGTCGCATCCGTTCGACACGGTGGGCCAGGCGCTCGCGGTGTTCCGAATGCATGTCGAGCATTCGTCGCAGCAGACGCGCGAGAAGCGCCGGCAGCGCGTCGAGGACGCCGAGAAGCGCCGGCAGTATCGGATTGCGCATGGGTTGGAGGAGGCGCCTGAGACGGCGGAGGGTGCTGATGCTGCTGCGGCGGCGGCTACTGCCGCGGAGGCGGTGGATGATCAGTCGCCTATTGCTCGGGAGGAGGTGGCCGGCGACGGCACGTATGTCGATTGGGAGGGGAAGAAGAGGCCCGTGAAGAAGTGGTTGGGTATTTGGTAGGCTGGTACCGGATCGATCCATCCGGTGCCATCGGGGGTCGAACTAGTGGGATTGCAGTGTGTAAGATGAGGGATGTAGCTGGGGAAGATGTTTTGCATATCTTAGGTCTATGTACAATACTACTTGCTTTCTATCCTCCTCGGGGGTTGTGCTCGTGTCTACCGGGGGCTAAGCATCGGGCGAGTCATCGCTGTGGTCGAGGATCACGCTCTTGCGGGTGGATATGCGCTTCCCGTTCCTCGCAAACAAGCCCAGAAGATGTGTTTGCCATGTGGGATGACATATTAACCACCCAGAGCGATAAGCCCTCCTGAACCGCTCAACCAACCTCCACACTCTCCAAACCCTCCAGAACCTCCTCACCAACCCCACCCTTCTCCAGCACTAACTTGACCATCTTAGCCACCGTCCGCCTCTTCACCCCGCCGCGACGAGGCCTCCACACGCCAGGAACCTCCTCCTCGCCCGTCACCGGATTCAGAACCGCCGCCGACTGCTGCTCCTCCGAGCCAGCAGCACCAGCCGTAGCCCCCAGCGTCGCCACATTCTCGGAATTCGGCACCCCAGGCTGCGTCAGCCGCGAGGGGGGATCGATCGTCCGGATCGACAACAACTTCAGGCCGCCCTCGGCACCACCATCGCGCGTCACCGAGATGGCCAGCACGGTATCGGCGACGGCGATCTCCTCGCGGTTCGGATCGAAGATGACATTGTCGCCCACGGCGATCACCAAGAGGGTCACCGGCGGCCGGACATGTTGCACGGGAGGCGGAACACCGCCCGTCGCCGTGCCACCGCCGAACTTGGGGAACGACGAAGCTCTGGGGTACAAATACTCGGCCGCATTCCAGTCATCGTCGAAGAAGGGATCCTCCTCGCCCTTGGATTTCAACTTGGGGAGTTTCGTCGCCAGAAGCGCCAGATGTGTCGTCAGTGACAACAGGGGGAGGGGGTAGGAGAGTGGTTGCGACAGCAGTAATACCTGTTTCATGCGTTGTGTTGTTAGTTAGCAATTGAACTGGACTCCATTCCAGCAGAATCAAAAGATGAGGGGACGTAATCTCTTACATCAATATACAACCGCCAATGCCACCTCCGATTGATCACCAACCGCCCCTTCAAACCGCCCCCCATCTCCCCTTCCTCACGACCGTTACCACCCTTTCCCCCCGAAGAAACACTTTCAACCAACGGCTCCCGCATCATCTCCGCCAGAAACACCGGCAGGGCATCGTCGTCCCGAAACCCGGGGATCTCGATACTCATCTGCACCCACGACCCATGACCGGCCGTAGCAGCCCCAGCCCCAGCGGCAGAACCCGACCCCTCCCCACCCTCCCCATCGAGATCCCCCGCGCCTTCGGCCTCTGCAAGAGTGTAACTGGCCGCAGCACCCACCACCGTCCGCTCCACCTCGGCCTTCACGCCGACGATCGCCTGCGTCCCGTCCGCGAACCCGACGCGCGCGCTGCCGTTCGTGCCGGGCAGCAGATCGGTCTCGGCGGTCAGCGGCCGGAATTGCGTCGCCGAGCGGCCATCGGGTCGGATGGGGTTCTGGGGGAGACTGAGCGAGGTGTAGAGGTAGGAGAGTTCGGCGGGGGAGATATGCGGGGTTTGCGAGGCGGAGGTGGCTTGTCGTTGGGTTGACATTTTCTCGGTTGGCTTGTCTCGTCCGGAGAACGAAAAGACGAGGGCGTGTGAGTCGAAGGATAATATTAGATAAGTGCGGTTGAGATAGAGGTACAGGCAGTCTCCGCAGCTATCGACAGCCCTTCAAGGAAACTCGAGATCAAGGACTAAAGTGCTGGGAAATGGATGGCTTCTTGCTTGGGTGACTGAGCAGCAAGATCTTGTCGCAAAGAAGGTCGAGCGAGCTTAAGCTGAGAAGCCCTGTATGACCTGCTGAGCCGAGCAGTCTTTCGGTCGCGCCAGGCTTCTATTGCTGAAATGTTAAAGAATTGATAAGTCGATCTGAAGCTTTTGACGTAGTGCTGCTTTGGGAAATTCTGCCGGAATGTCGGCGGAACGGTTGTTCCGCCTCGGTGGATTCGATCTTCCATACTATTTACTTATCACTCAAGATATCCCTTTCTGCGTACTATGCTAACTCTTTGCCATTCTTTCACACATAGAAAAACAATATATGCAGATACATACAGACTTCGTCTGCGGAATTAGATGTGTATATATAAATAGACGAATATGTCGTCGAGATGATCCTATATTACAAGATGTTGAAGCTCCAGACCAGCCACCGATGCTCCTCAGCCAAATCATAAACTGTACAACAGGTGAAGGGAAGTTTTGGGGAAAATTGCAAAAGCCCTCTCCATCCGCGGAATGAGGGGTCGAGAAGGGGAAGGGGAAGGGGAAGGCTTGATGACTGAGGGAATGTTGCCACAGGAAAAATACATAGGGATGAAGGGAGTTGGGACAAAAGGAAAGGTGGTATGAGTATGTGAGACATGTTGGGGAATGATTCAGATATATCTATAGGGTGAGAGATGGGTGTAAGAATTGCGACTCGCGCAATTGGTATCAAGGACAAGGGAGGAGCAAATGTGCAGGTGTTGTTGTAAAAATGGTCAATGAATGGAAGACGAATAAACGGCATGCCGAAAACAGGTTGCGAGGCCGACTGTATCTATGAATAAGGCCTTTGGGGTATGAGAACAATGCAAACAAATGAAAGGCAACCCCGGACTGAAACCTCGGGCTATACAAACGGGTATGGGAAATGAAGCGCAGGATGCAAGATGAAAGAGAAAAAGGCTGCCAGTCCTCACACAAGATAAAATCACACAGTAGACACCAGATCCCCCGTACGCCTTGCTCGGTGAAATTGCCGGTTACGCGCATGACCACTCATTTTTCTGACTTTTTGGTAGATGCAAGCATATTCAACGGAAGATGACGATGAGTTAAAAGAAAAGTGCGATGGCCCGCCAAACCGAAGCTACCGATAAGTTGCTGATCCGGTCATGAACTTGGTGGTAGCCGAAGCCGACTTGGTCCATTCGGCTTCGTCATAAGGCGGGGTGGGCCATTGGCGGTTGGAGTTTGCTTCTGTCTTCTCAGCTGGGACTCGTCGACATGGAGTCGTCTCTGGGCCGAAGAAGCCACCTTCGCAGTTGGCGGAAGGCGATGGAGTTGGATAAGGGCTTGGCAATGGACGCCCGCTGTCGTTACCTCCAGCGGCGTGGCTGTAGTGGGATGAGCCGTCGGAGGTGATATCAGCCTGTGCCAGTCGCCGAGCAGCTTTGCTGGCCGAATGAAGCACTTCGTCAAGAAGCTCATCCTCTTCCTCGGGAGTTTCGTAGCGGTGGATAGGGTTGTTGGACATCTGCATTGCACGCCTAGTCCGGCTGGAGATGGGCGCTCCATTACCACTTGTTGAGACAGGGCTGTCGCCCATTGTCCGGATGGAACCTTGGGGCATGGACTGGCGTTTGGTGCCGTCCACATGGGAGGTGATCTGCACCGGAACATTGCCCCGATTGTTGGAGTCAAGAGAATGTCTCACACTCTGCAGAGCCTTGTCTAGTTCCGCAAAGTCGGAGGTGGACTTGGATTCACTGGCGTTGACAGAGTCCAGAGCCAGCGAGGAACGGTTTGACCAAGGCATGCATCCAGCGTTGGATTCCACATCATCGCCGGAGACATTGCCCTGGTTGCGTCCAGACAACCGGCGAGCACGCTTGCGCAAGTGAGAGAAGAAGCTCTCTTTCGGCGTGATGACTGCGCTTCCACCATTGAGGGCCCTTTCCGCCTCCTGCCTGTGGACATCGGCATAGTGATTGCCGTTCGAATTGACTGACAACTGCCGGCCGATCTTCTTGCTGGCTTTCCCCGCGCTGTCGCCGGAGTGAGCCAGGGATGCATTCGCTTGCGCTGTGACGGCGTTGGACAAGGGGGACACAGGTCGAATCGAAGGCAGAATAGGCATGGGAGCGCCATTGGCCCAGGTAGCCCGCTTAGTTGGCGCGGGTCTGGTCTTGCTCGGCTGCAGCTCCGAAGGATAGGAGGTAACGCTTGGTTTGGCGACATGATCGTTCTCCGTAGGCTGGACCGGACTCTCAGACCTTCCAATCAACGATCTCCTGAACCAAGACGCCTTGTAGGTGAGTGTGGGCGAGTCGCTCTGCTCCCGAGTAGCACTCTTGAGGACCTTCTCGGAGTGCTTGCGACCCAAGAGGCGAGCAGTCGAAGATTTCGGTCTCAACGGATCAATGGCATCGGCAAAGTACTCATGGTTCAATGCCTGGGTAGAAGTCGGCCGGTTCTTGGGATCCCACATCAGGCACCAGGTAACAAACTGACTAAGGGCAACGGGCCACTGAGGGGCTTGGAGAATGCTTTCCATCGAATGAGGGGCCATCTGATATTGCGTTAGTGCCTTGATCGGGTGAATTGATGCACGGTGCTCATGGTTCGTACCTTGGGGAAAGTGAAACCCAGCTTCTGAGCCAAGCGAGAACCCTCTCTCCATTCACCACCTCCGAGCTTGCCCCCAGACTTACTGTACCAGTTACCAGGGCTGCCCATGATTTCACATACGCGCCACACCTGGTCAACCTCATTGCCTCCGGGGAATAGTGGTTTCAGGGTTGCAATTTCAACAGCCATAGCACCAACGGCCCACATATCCACCGGCGCGGAGTACTCGCCAGCACGTAACAGGACCTCGGGGGCGCGGTACCATCTCGTCGAGACATAGGTCGTATAGGGGGATTTCGAGTGTGTCTCGCGTGCCAGACCAAAGTCGGCGATCTTGACAGTGTAGGTGGGAGGGGTGGAAGGAGGAGTGACGAGGTTAGAGTAACGGCTGAAAGCGGAGTCGTTCGGAGCAGATGTAGATACTAGGATGTTTTCGGGTTTGATGTCGCGGTGGAAGAAGTGGTGAGCGTGAATGTGGTCGAGACCTGAGAGGATTTGGAATAGAATGCTTTTGACGTGCTTCTGATCCAGGGGCTTGTGGTCACGAGCCTTCATTAGTTGGTAGAGATTGCCGTCCATGTACTCCATGCAGATATGCAGTTTGCGCGAAAGCGGGTCGAGGAAGATGTCGAGGGCCGGGACGAGGTGGGGATGGGGTGGAAGGGTCCGCAGGAAGATGACCTCACGCAACTCCAGACAGGGACCCAACGATTCGAATGTCTTCTTCATCGTCTTGATCGCCACCTAAGCAAGGAATTAGCAAACCTCACATCGCATCTCGGCATAGGCCAGGAGCTTACCATGGTTCCTCGTCGTGCAACATTGGAGCCAGCTGTCCGTACACGTGCGACAGCCACGCTACCAAAGCTGCCATCACCAACCTCTTTGATGACTTCGAATCTGTCTTCAAGAGAGGCGACGGAGGCGGGAGCAATGCTCCTCACGGAGGAATGATCGTAGCAGACAGTCATAGTGTCTTTCTCCTTTCGAGTCTCTGCCAGCAGAAAAACCAAGGGAACTCTTGCGGGTCGAATGAGTCGTGGAGGGGGGAGAGGAGGGGAGGAGAGGGGATTGGAGTCAGCCGGGTTGGTACCGGAGAGGTATAGAGGAGTGTCGACGGGATATCTTCCTCGTAACGAATGTGTCGAAGGAGTGTAAGGGATCTCCTAGGATTGTCGAATGTGTTTTAGTATAGCCAGGAGCTCATCATTCGCAGTTATACTAAGTTGAGTCTGCGAAAGGAGTAATTCTGTCCATCGATGATAATGATGGACGGTCGAGGGGTGAGATCGATGAGGTAGGTAAAGTAAAGTAGGTAGGTAGTAAGGTAGTAAGGTAGGCAAGGTAGGTAAGGTAGGTAAGGTAGGAGGATGATTGATTAGATGGGGAGGGCAAAATGTAGTACGAAACACAATTCGACAAGAGGGGGAAAGGGGTAGTCATGTAGTTCTCAGGAAAGAAGAAGCGAGGGTGGAGGAAGAGGGAGATCTGGAAACAAGATGGAAGACCCAGAGGATTGGACGTGATCACTGTAGTGATAGGAGCGGACCCGTTTTGAGGTGGACACTGGGACACAAGCTAAACGAAAGGAAGGATGATCGGAGTACTACCGCCTTTTGGAGGAGGGAGAGAGAGAAGACGGATGGGGGAG